TGTCCGAGGGAAACACCTTACTGCTGCTGTCACGCCCCTCTGCAGTCAGCAGTACGACTTCACCCTCAGACCTTGGGTAGCTGCTTTTAGTCTCATCGTTCTCCAATTGACCTGCATGGCATGGTACGACCTGCAGGAACATATGTTCCAGCCAGCATAGCACGGTTGGGTCATCACGATAGGCAAGCCTGACCACCACCACGTCAAGGTAGCAGCTACGGTCGGGCATATGCTAGTCAGTAGTTAATTAAATATCGATTTTACTAAAAAATTGTGAATACAAATTATTTATTAAACATTTCTGATGAATTAAGCATAAGCGAATGTGTAACATTGATGAACTGATTGATTTATTTCTATTAACATTAGCTATTTGCAGATATATGTGAATATCGTGTCGAATCGAAATCAAGTACGGATTTACAACAAACAGAATCGGCTCAAGCCACTGCTACTACTACTAATAATAATGATAATAGTAGTACTACTCCAGCATCAATCCTTTCTATTCCACCATTTCCTCCAACATCACAAGGACATTATGGTCCTGCTGAAAAAGCTAAAGAATTAGACATTATCACTGTACCAGATGATTTAGAAGCTCAATTAAATTGTCATACTGGTGTATTGGAAATTAAATTTACCACAAAAAATCCAGTAAGTATTGTTTATGATTGTCTTTTGTAACTTATCCAGGTTTTTTTTTAATTTTGAAAAAACTGTTGATAATCAGATAACTGACTAATAACTAGCTTCTTGAGCAAATTCTCGGAGTTCTAGTTGAGAAGATGTGACCAGTGGAGTTCAACCCTGTCGGGTATAAAAGCAGTAACTACCAAACAAGACAAATGGGTGAGGTCATGCAAAATTTGTAGATTGATCAGAGTTAGACATTAACACCATTGGATGCTGGCTGGATAATGTGATCCAAAGGTTGGGAGTCTACGCGTAAGACCAAAGGTCCTGGGTTCGAGTTTTGCTAGGTTCAAGAGTCTTGGATACGCCCTCCCGATGAGTAGCCGCATACTAGGACGGAATGTAAAGTAAAAAATCAGATAGCTGCTCTCCAATGGTTATTATGTCTGTGATTAAAGTTTCCTAGCTGTGTTATACACCTTCCATCCTGTTGGCATTGATAACCACAAAAATAAGCAATTTGTCTTGTCCCAAATTAATCTATGGAAAACTATGCTCTTCATTTGGTTCATTCAGCATGTGATATACACATCGACTAATGAGATAAGTATTTGCTCATCCAAAAGTTGAACAAAATTTTCCTACCACCTCTTTATTAAAAAACCGTATTAAACAAAATACTGTTGACTTTCATTTTTTTTTACTCTTTATTCACTACTCATTGCATTTAAGCAAAATAAACTTCCCCGATTGACTGCACGTTTAAAATCATTGATTCATGAAACATCAATGCTTACAGATTGTATCCTGTTACGAACTGTTCAAGCTGTACCACCGGGTAGTATAAATTCTACAACAAGTCGTTTATCTGGTACATTAACTGTTCAAGGAGGATCATGTATTCACATGATTATATTGACAGCGTATTTACCAACAGCTGGTGAGTATGCATTGGAAGTTTACGGTGCACCAGCTGATTCTGATGAGAATACATCATATTTTTTGGTAAGATTATTTATTGAGCTTGACAGACTAATATATTAGTTTCATGTTGAATTTTTTCTATGACGATCTAACATACTGCATACGGTGAACAAAACAAGTGAATATTTGGATGGGTCTACTGTGCAACAATTCGCTCCGTCCTACAATATATGGCTGTGAAGAATGACCAGTAAGAGTAGGGGGTATTTGTAGGTGATTTGTATTTGATCGGGAATGCCTTCGAAGTACTGCTTGTATATCCTGCGACCACCGAGTAAACAATGCCGGCGTTAGGGAACGAGGACTGGGTAAGGATGGAAAATCAATAGATGAAGTAGTAAAACCTAATCAGTTGAGATGATTGGATTACGAATGACCAACCACCGATTGCCGCAGCAAGCGATTATGCCTGGTGCAAGGGTAGGCTGAACGAAAGTCTGGGGCGACCAAATCAAACAGGGCGCAAATCCATCAAATCGCTGATAATTGGACTGAGTCCTGTTAGTAGGTGTAGACTAACTATTTGTGGTATGTGAGATGATAGTAACTAATGGTTAGAGACCTTGAAGGACATGGCTCGAAATTGTTTGCAAATGCTCAGATTCATCTATTTTTTGTCTTCTGAATTCCTGTTTTTTATATTCAAATTCCTCTGCGATATACTTCTCGAATGATATCTTTTTGATTCACTCTAATACTTTTACTACTTCTAGTACTATGGGATTTGAATTGACAATTCAATCTGTGTGTGCCAATGTAGTATGGCAAGTTGAACTAATGTGCATAAGTATCAAGTTCTAAGTTGAAGCTGACTGACTGACAGTGAACATTCTTGGTAGTGGTGTATATTTTGAGTTAAACAGTGTAAATAGGAAAGCTTGGTTATTTTCCACACACACACGTAAATGTGAAGGATCACCAGATTCCAGTCCTGCAAATCTTTCTTCCTCTGACTTGTAGCAGAATAAGCTACAGGTCAAACGTGGAGAAATTCGAAGGCTTCACTTCTATTTGAAGTTTGTGCTGATGATGTTGTTCAGATGAACAATGAAAGCTCCACAGCCAAAACAACCAGCTCAGAGAACGAAACACCACCACAATCATCCACCTGAGCTATAAGTTTTCTCCACCATCTCAAAATAATTCTTCCATATCACCATACCACGTCATCTACTGACCTCACATCGTTCTTTCCAACAAGTCTCAGCTCTGGAAAATAATGGGCGATATGGAATTATTTGGGACGACGTTCGTCGTATATGTTAAAGCCATAGATATCGGTGTTTCAAAATGGTGACATGAATTAAATTATATTCACTGTCACTGAATCTCTGTAATATTAACGTGGTGTTGCTACTGAATATCAGTAGTCATCACGTAACAACTAGAATTAATTAATTAATCAAACATGTGAATCTTGTTTACACTTGTTACACTAGTGATTTGAATTATCATTTCTACCAATGTGTTGATCATTTAACATTTAAATAATAATACTAATACTATCATTCTGTTTTACAATCAATCTTTCAGGTATGGCAATTTTTAATAAATTCCGAATTTGGAATTCGATTATCTACTCCAGTTAGAAAACGTTTAGCTACAATGAATCTTGGTCCACAAGATGAAACATGGTCTACACTAGGCTTAAAATTACTTAGTCACACCGATCCTTTAATTCATGTTCCAACGACTGGTTCTATTGGATTGCAAAAAACTCGTAGTAAATCAGAAATTATGAATCAGTATATTATGAATCAAGCAGAGAAAACTATAAATGATGTATCTACAGGCGATTCATTAGCCATTCCTACAACACTACAAGATCAAACAAATGAAATAGACGATGAATTACAAGATCCACGTAGTTATGACTTGAAAATAAGATTTTCCAAAGAATCAAAACAGAAAATCTATGTAGTTGGACAGTTTGTAGATATCAGCAGTACACCGGAAGAAGAGGTAATGTGCTAACACAACTCTGTGTGTGTGTGTGTCAGTTTACAATCAAATTTTTCTTTGTGTGTTCCGACTTATTTTTTTTCAGATTAAATTTTAAGTTAGTTTATCATAGTGAATTTTACATGTTTTTTCCTGATTTATGCTTCTCAGATTTGTTAGTCAAGAAAATATTTACGAATTTTGAATAGTTGTTGATACTGTTTCAGGTTAAGTAGATAATGGTCACATTGTAGATAAATCTAGATCTTTTCGGATGATCTCACGTATACCTCTATCATTTCCCAACGGAGTTCGATCCAGTCTCCTACATATTGCTAAAGCCATAGGAATACGTATATTCAACCCATATTTATGTGTTCGGAAGAAATTCGTCACACCCCTATCTCTTCCGTGGCCGAATATGACGTAACTAATGATTGACATTTTCATTTCAATATTCATATATATTAGAGTATAGAGCCTGATGACGATCTGATCGAAAACAACAATATTGTTCGCTTATATGTGTTGTTCTAATTTTCACAATGGGAATCTTTAATATTCTTAAATAGAAAAAAAGCAAACCATTTATTCATTGATTACAATTGATTCAAAAATAACGAGCATTAGTAATCACTTATTTGCTTACTTACCTACTTACTTACGCCTTTTACGCTTAATGGAGCATAATCCACCAGTCAGTGAATCAATTTTCTAGTTAGCTTTGTTTTTTACCGAGTTGAATTTCTGTAGGATGCTCCATTCTCTTCCTTTATCCGGGCTCCAGGCATGATTACCAATAATCACGCTGTCATTATGTTAGGTTCAAGTTGTAACTTGGTTATCACCAGAGATAATTGGTTTGTAAGTGTACTACCCTTTTGTCAGGCCTTAAATCAATCACTACTTGCTTCATAATTATCGTCATATCCTTCAAGATTATCATTAGGCGTAGAAAAACAAAACAAAAGCACTAGAGTTGTTTCACTGTACGTCAAATCAATTATTTAAACTTGAAAATAATGTTCACAATATAAAATGAATCCGTCTTATTTTGAAGTTTCGCTTTGTGTATAGCCCAAGGCTCTGTCGTCATTATTAACTTCCAAAATATTGACGTAATCAATAATCCTATTTTATCATAATTGTTAATAACTACTTCGACAGTGCATGAACATTTGCAGTTTTTCCAAACTATTAATCAACAGTAATTTCTAATCATATTGTTGTGCACAAAAATTCAGGTGAGGACATCAACAATATATATTTCAGCGAATATTACGTAGTAGTTAGGCATATTTACAAAACCTTCCCGTCAAATCATCATTTGCAAACTAATCCTTATTTGTTTCAGATTTCAGTGTTGTTTCATTTAGACTGTTCAGACTTCAGTTCACTTTACGTTACCTACAAATCACCTTCTGTTCTCATTCTTTCCTTCTCGAATTTTTGCTGTCAGACGTTTGATTTCCATTTGATATCATATACTACTTATGTGAACATAAGTAGCGTACACCTTATAATCATTAGGTACTTTTTTTTATTTCTTTCATGCATCCATATCGATTTTATTACGTAAATTATGTTTAATTTATTGTTTCTAATTTCAGTAATTAGTGTAAGCTTAGACTATTCACAATCGATACGCAACTTCAAAATAAGAGGAATTTGTTTTATCTTGTGACACTGATTACTCCTGCCTCATCTATAATTATTCAATTCTTACCTTGAAATCATGAATGAATTATTGGTAGACCATCATTAGAAAGCTGGAAGCATTGGATAGCCGTATCATCCTGGTATGAGACCCATCCGCAGTGCTCATGGTCGACTTCGGCTGTCTGAGAGAGTCGATGTAACCAGGGGAGTTCACCCTTGTATGGTGTAGGCAGAACCTAGGGGGCAGACAATGGGTAACGCTGAGCAAAATCACTAAATTGATCAGGGTTCAAAATTAAAATTGCTGGTTGCCGGCCGGCTTGGTGCTCCAAAGTCTAGGCGTCTCCATGCAAGATTGAAGTTTCTGGGTTAGAATCCTGTGAATAGTAGAAGTCATGCGTGCTCACTGTTGATAAGTACTGTACCAGGATGAAACGGTCATCTTTCAGTGCTTTCAGATGTCTTATAGTGGTCTCACATTATTTCAACTTAAAACTATCATATCCACATTATGCTAATCCATAATCAAGTATTTTTATCATTATTTTAACTTTTTAAATGTTTAGGATTGTACAACTTATCTATTACAACAATGGGAAGAATCTGAAGAACCTGGTATGAATGAACATTTAACATATCTTATTCGTATACCAAAAGGTGATCATTTCTACAAGTTATATTTATATGCAACACCTGTTAATGATAATGAATTGCCTCAATCATTACCATTAGTATATACATATTTAATTGAAGCACCACCACGTATAATGGCATCGGAATTACCATATATCGGTGTAAAATGGGGTGCATTTCCTGAGAAATTAGAACAACACACAGCTATTAAACAAGAGTCTAAATAATCATAATAATCATGTGAAAGTTTCATTTATTTTTTATCTTCAAAACAATAAAAAAAATGTATTCAGAATTTTTTTTTCAGGCGCCATATTTAATATGTAAAAATAAAAAAAAAATTAAATTACGAATTATACTACAAGAAGGAATGTACTATTGTGTCTGTGTGTGTGTTTTTTGTGGTTTGACCAAAACAGACGTAATTGTTCTGTGTTTGTGTCTGTACGTTTGTGTGTCTTTGTTTTGGCGAAAACAGACGTAATTGTTCTGTGTTTGTGTCTGTCTCTCTCTCTGTGTGTGTGTCTACTGCTATCCTATTGTGTTAACATGTAATTCTTTAATGAATGTTGTCGAATTTCGTCGTGTATTTAACCAGAGTGAATTAAATACAACATGGTATGATGGTTGGTTTTATTCTTTGGAAGTCTCATTTTTTTTTTCGTTTGCTTTATCATATTTTATTTATTTAATTGAAAAATTAATGATTTTTCCCCTTAATTCATACACTTTCTTTTTTGCTTACATAATTAATAATTAGGTTCAATAAATAAAAGCTAATCAGATCTTATAATATGCTTATTATGATCATTGAATGCGATACTAGCCACCAAAAAACAAGTGTTTCTCATTGTTTCTTATTGTTGTTCTCACTGTTGAAAAAGTGCCTGTTTGTTTCAATGTGTTCATTCATGTGTAAGCATTGTCAATGTGATACTACTCTACTTTTCAGTTTCTCTTGCTTGTTCTTATTGAATGCTTTGAATTAATCAAGTTAATCGCAAAATTCTTTTATTTCAATGAATTATTGTTAATTTTATCTCAATAAAATTAAGAACTAACAAAAATTCAATAAAATTTTCGTCTGTTGTTATGTTTGTATTGAAAGTTTTTGTTTTCCAATGGATCAATTGCATTCAATGTTCAATAATTCAAGTCAAGTATTCCTCATCTAAAAGACTTAGTTATTATTGTTTTAACATTGTTATTTTCTTATAAAAGTAGTGATAGAAATTATACTAACTAATGCTAATTTTAATATCGGTACAACAATGAATGACCTGATATAATAACTAGATAGTGGAAATAGTGATAAGAAATTATGGCTTGAATAATTTTGAACAATGCTTAACAAGCCCTTCCGGCTCGAAATATTAGTACGCTGGCAACAATATCGTAATTTCGTTTAAAGCAAGGAATAAGCCTGGGATAAAATTGGAATGCATCGATTCATGACATGAATACTGAGATATCCGTTAGTTACGAAGCTTGGATGAATGGACTCATATCAACTTCATTAGCCTCAGCATCTACGGTATGACCTAGATGTTTGATAGGATTATGCTGAAAGGTACAGTTAGACGCATTTATGGACACTTCTGTTTCACAGAAACGCCTAACATAAGTTTAGTAGACGTTCAGAATGCAACACAATATTTTCAGTAACAATTACAAGTCTTCTTTATATAAATCACCATGATTACGATTGGTTCTAGAATATCGTAGTTGAAATAAGTAACATTGTTATTTTCTTATAAAAGTAGTGATAGAAATTATACTAACTAATGCTAATTTTAATATCGGTACAACAATGAATGACCTGATATAATAACTAGATAGTGGAAATAGTGATAAGAAATTATGGCTTGAATAATTTTGAACAATGCTTAACAAGCCCTTCCGGCTCGAAATATTAGTACGCTGGCAACAATATCGTAATTTCGTTTAAAGCAAGGAATAAGCCTGGGATAAAATTGGAATGCATCGATTCATGACATGAATACTGAGATATCCGTTAGTTACGAAGCTTGGATGAATGGACTCATATCAACTTCAGCCTCAGCATCTACGGTATGACCTAGTTGTTTGATAGGATTATGCTGAAAGGTACATTTACACGGATTTATGGACACTTCTGTTTCACAGAAACGCCTAACATAAGTTTAGTAAACGTTCAGAATGCAACACAATATTTTCAGTAACAATTACAAGTCTTCTTTATATAAATCACCATGATTAAGATTAGTTCTAGAATATCGTAGTTGAAATAAGTAAACTGAATGTTAGGGAATTGTATTTTAACAGCCGAAATTATGTTTTATTTGTGGTTAATTCATTGGAGATTTTATCTAGTGGAAATTGTAAGTACGCATTTCATTTATTACTAGTTTAGAAAAATACTTTGACCCCAATAATTTATATAGTACATCTTTAGGTTATATAGTGGTACAGTTCCGTTGCAATAGATAAGTATTTAGCATCTGACCGTAGTCAACGTAATCTTTAGTTGTTTTTCCATTTGCCTTTATTTGAATCACAAGACTATTAACCAAAATGGACAACGTTAATAGAATTATTGTCTTTTATCGAACCAGTACTTTGAACTAAACCTTTATAGTTGTTCTAAACAATGAGAAATCAGTCTACGTTTCAGGAAGATGTGCTTCTTAATTTTTAAGTGTACTGGCTGAATTTTTACATCCTCGTTACTGTACAAGTCCAGACCATGACTTAACGTACTATCAGAAAGCGTGCTGTATAAAGAAACACGAACGTGTGAAAATTCAAAACATTTTTACTGAAACGCAGATGGCCCCTACCCACAAACGATGAAGAAGTATTGGCACAATCTGTTACGGGAGAAAAGAAGACATTTGACTGACTATTGTGGTGGGAAGACAGTGATATAGGACGAAAGGCTAAGGAATACTGACAGTTCATCCTTTTGGAGCCGTGTCCTCTCCCTTTTGCGCTAATTTCGCTCTTAGGAAGACGGCAGGTATATTCGGAAAGGAATTGAATAAAGATGTCCAGGAAGTTGTACATAAGAGTTTTTATGTCAATCACTATTTAACTTCAATTGATAATGTGCAGAATGCAATCGAGCTTGCAAAAACCCTTGGTTTACTCCACAGAAAAGGTGGGTTCAGACTTACCAAGTGGATAAGTAACTGTTTACAGGTTCTCGAAGAGAGCAGAAGCCGTAAAAGAGATTGACTTTGAGAGAGAGACTTCCTACGGAATGCACATTGGGATTATTTCGGAATACTATGGTTGATGCGAATAATAAACGTGATGCTAACGAGAGTGGAATCACTATATGTAGCGCAGTTTCTTCGATTGCTTTTACCAATGTAGCTTCTTTGAGTACTTCGAATCAAGACGAAATTGGATGTTTGAGCGTAGAGTATGTAGGATTCGGTAGCAATAGCTTTAGCCACAGTGATGGCAATACTGAGAGGGCTAACATTCAGTGCCCTAGGTGCAATGAGGAGTCATCTAGGTTTGATGGATATGCTGTTGTGTTGAATATACAACATGAGGAATCAAGCATGGAATTGTCCACCTGTCGCACTCCATCATCATTGACTTGTACTACAAGTATCGGAATGAGCGCTACCAACAGTGATAAGACAGATGAAGTTAAGAGCATTCCTAGTAAGGAAAGCAATGTTGATCGAGTAGAGTTGGACACTGTACATGAGTCGAATGGATGTCATGAGAAGTGTACTGCTGCTTGTACAGCTGCGGCTACTAATGATAATAGCATTGATAGTACTGCGGGTAATAGTGATCGATGGAAGTTGAAAGACACACATCGTCGTCGAAATGATCGTACGTTACGCTCATATACTGCTACTCAAGCTAAGAAGCATAAGAAACGACATGATGCTACTATTATTAAAGAGCGTAAACCTCGTTCTCTTTCGGATGCTATGACTAGCAATGGAAATAGTAGTCATCAGAATCTTGATAGTGACAGCGATAGTAAAGAGACAGAAAGTATGAGCAATCCATCTATAGTGACTAGTCGATCAACTTCATTGAATGAGCCTTCTATTGATTTGACGTCATCGGGCCTTGTCGCGAATGTTAAGTTGATTGAGGATACACAAGGTTGTGTACCTGTAAGTGTTCCTACTTCGGTTGACTGTCAGTCAAGTGATGATGAGAAGGAAGTGTCCGACGGTAACAGCCAGTCTACAGTGTTGCATGATAACGATGCTATGGATGAGCATATGTCTTGTGTCTCTTAAGCGGAACATGAAGAACAACAAGTGAGTTCATCGGTTTCGAATTGTGACACTTAAGCTGTTCTTTCATGTGGCGAGAGGAGTTATACAACAATGGAAGAGTTTCACTCTACGGATGCAAGTGTAGACAGAAACAACGTGACTTGTCTGACAGAACGGAATCATGATGACAATGATAATAATCTGGATGTCACTGATGTGACAAATGAGTTGTCGACGATGACGAATGCTGATCAAACCTCCTCTGTATCAGGAGATGGAGAGTTAAATATTATTCCTACGCTATGCGATTTGAAGTCTTCGGGAGAAAAAAAAATATCAAATTGGAGATCCCACCCTTGTATATTAACCATGCGTCAAGAACTTCTGTTGATAAGTCAGCATCACGGACTTCATCGTATCCGCCGTTCTGAGCAACGGGTGGTGGATTGACGACTCATCCCCATGATGTGGAATGTAAATCCCGAATAGTATATGACCAGTTTTACGACGCTTTATACATGTTCATGTGGGTCAATTGGATGAAGTTTATACTACCGTTAGGTCATGCTACGATAGATAAGGGAATCAAGCACCTGATGGGAAGGTACAGGTCCATAGTTAGCTTGATAGGTCATATCCACGTTGGAGGGCGGGTAGGCGTACTGCTGTAAGTCCTACTCGTTCTTCTGGTGTGGATTAGGGGATGAGAGTGAACCCTAAAATGAAGTGTAAGAAAGGGTTTGTTTTGCATAGAAGGATTTTGCGGGCCGGTGTAGAATCTGTATTTAATGTTTGTTGTTGATTGCTTGTGATGCACATACTTGGATTGTTGTTACCTATTTTTGTCGGTCAAAAAAACCAAAGTTCTTTTGGTCGGGAGTGTTACGGGAGAAATGAAGACATTTGACTGATTAAAACCTTCATATAAATATCATTAATTTCACTGTTTTTTGGGTATATTTGTTTTACTTAACTAATGAACCTGTTTGATTTATTATTTTCGGACATTTTGGTTACTGTTTGTCTTGGTTTGCTAATTGGGAGTTTTTGCTCCAGGAACCTATAAAATTGAAGAACGACATTTTGGTCGACTATTTGTGAATTGCGAATAAACTTTGGTACCTAACTTTGGAGTTTGGTTCTGTTGTTAATTTGGGTTCGTGAATTGCAAATAGATCGACATACTGTACTTCAATAACGGGAAGGAGCAAAACTTGGACGTAACACAGCCGCCCACCTCTTATCTTAATGAATTGGTTTCGGTAACAATAATGGGTAACGTCCGCTTGTGGTGCCAGTGATTACTCCACCTGAAAGTTTGATATGAAGGCTATTATAAAGAAACGAAGAAATCCTTTTATAAATGAATGATTGTCTGTTACCAGCAGTAAAAATAATGAATAGGACGTGGTTTAAATGTAAAAAGATTTTGATATCAAGTGTGAAGTACTGCTTCAGGCGACAGTAGGCGACAACGTGTTCAATACATGGAATTCCTGAACATCCAGTCTTTTCATAGCATAGGACACCTGGACAGACTTCTGGAACCAAAACATACTGGCTCATATAGTGTTTCGGTACTTCACGTAAATATTCGAAACAGTGACACATGTACTCCTTCCTATAAGTCAGGCTATCGAAGATGGTTTTCAACGTTCAGAATTCTATATTGGTACAGGAACTACCTACAGAATAAGAAGCTTCGTGCCAAAGTAAAAAGGGTGCATGCAAACCGGCGAGTCTGCACATCAGCGAATTCACAGAGGACTACCATGGTCCACCTATTGCCTCTGATATTTGTTAATGATGTGTTAGTTAAAATCATCTCAGTGTGTTGTAACGGTTGCTTACGATATTTCCCGGCTAAATCTTATTGCTTAGTATTCTTGACACAAACACTGGACAAGTAACACAAATCAGAACACGGTTGAACAGGAAGGATTGTATTCCAAAATAGCAAGGAAAAGAAGCTGGAGGTGATGGCGAAAGCCAAGGCAAAAAGGCTTGAAAGCGAAGAAGGCTAGAAGGCTAAGAAGGCAAAGATAAATACAATGCTAGTCTATTTATAGCCTTTGCATGAGAAAACTTCTGGAAGGAAATTCACGTGATCGACTGGACTGGATTTGACCAATCAGCATGCAGCTAATAATACGAGAATTTTCTATCCTGTTCTCCAAGCTTCGATCAGGCGCTGATTGGATGGGAAATTAGCCAATCAGCGCGTAGTGACGTAATCACGCTTTAAATCCATCTATGTCCCACTAACACCTCCCCTTTGAGAAGATTCGTAGGATCTGGTGCTAGGGTCCAACTGCTTCCTGGGTGCCTTGCCACCCGTACTCTTACGAGCCGCCTGCTTTGTAGGAACCATATCTTTAGACAACCGTCGATCGGGCTGCTTCCCCACCGATAAGTTTTGTTGAGGCTCATGAACAGCATATTGTATAGGGCGTCTCGGACGTGAAGTAGGTTTGGCATCTGCTTTCGCTGGTAGGTTAGCTTTCAGATTCGTACCGCGGCCAAGGCTATTCTGAGAAACAGAGGCTGACTTCCTCTTTCGTTTATCTTGTAACCTTTCACCTGTCTTCTTTTTAAGTATCGGGGTGTCCACTGATGAACACGATACGCTGCAGACACTGTTAATGGGTAAATCCATCATTCCCAGCTTTTCTAGCATATCTAGACCAAGAAGATCAAGGTTTGGCCGTTCTGTCAGATAGCATATTCCTGTACATTTTTTTCCGTTGAAGGAAAATTCACAGTGCATCTCACCAACCAGTTTTAACACACCACCTGAAGCGCTTTTAGCTGTTTTCTTAGATGGCTTCATTGGCGGTCTTCCCAGCGAGTTGTACGTCTCTCTAGACATTAAGGTGATATCTGATGCCGTGTCGATTTGAAAACGAGCTGACGCACCGTTCCTCTGTATAGTGACATACTTTCTCCGAACGACATATTCTGTTTGAAAAGCAGCTACGAGAGAAAGTGATTTAGACTCGGCTGATTTCACCACATGTCGAGTACGTTTGCGCTTCTTCTTGGGCTGAGACGTACGATCTGGTTGGCAATGGCCTTCTTTATGTCCACGTTTATGGCACATCTGACATTTATGTTTTTTAAATGGACAAAATCGTACGTAGTGCCAATCACCACATAACCAACATGCCGTCGTTGGTTTGTTACGAGATGCTATCGGCTTCTGGACTTTTAACCTAGTAATAGCATTGACACTACTGCTGGTTAAATTGTGATTTACCTGTTCAATCAACATGTTGTCGTGCCTGATACTTTGTAGGCGTTTACACTCATCTGTCAATGTTCTGAGTGTGACGTTAGGGTCTTGGTCCATTCGAATCAAAAGTCTAGTTCTGGTTTCAGCATCTTGCGGTGACTGAAGAGCTTTGATGAATATAAAGCATTTAAATTGGTCTTCCGTCAACGAGCGTAACTTGAACCGTTCACATTCTCTGTTGACGACGTCTGCAAGAACCGCATATTCATCATCTTCGTGTTTCACCAGATTTAGACAATGATATCTAATACTAAACAATGATGCTGATTCGCCGAAAATATCTGACAGCTGAGTTACTGTCTCCTCGAAACTGAGCTCTCGAGGTAACTTCGGTAATACGTGGTCAGCGTAACGTTCATACTCATTGCTTCCCAACTTACGCAGCAACAACCGAGTCTTCCATGCATCATCTTGTTTACCGAATTCAATTCTAAATGTATCTTCCCAACGTTTGAACCACGTCAGAAAAGTATTTCCACATTCAGGATTATAGACGAATTCTGATATGCTGTTTGCCACTGCTTCACAAGACGTGTTTGAAACAGTATGTGGACTCGAACACTGGATGTTGAGCTGTTGAGTTAGGGTCTCCAACAACCGCATTTGTGCATCTAATTGTGCTTGCTGTTGTTGTAGTATTCGGTTAAGCTGATCATCTGAAATAGGCATCTTGAAAAAATTTTTTTTCTTTTTCTCCGTCGTCACTGTTGTAACGGTTGCTTAAGATATTTTCCGGCTAAAACTTATTGCTTAGTATTCTTGACACAAGACACTGGACAAGTAACACAAATCAGAACACGGTTGAACAGGAAGGATTGTATTCCAAAATAGCAAGGAAAAGAAGCTGGAGGTGATGGCGAAAGCCAAGGCAAAAAGGCTTGAAAGCGAAGAAGTCTAGAAGGCTAAGAAGGCAAAGATATATACAATGCTAGACTATTTATAGCCTTTGCATGAGAAAACTTCTGGAAGGAAATTCACGTGATCGACTGGACTGGATTTGACCAATCAGCATGCAGCTAATAATACGAGAATTTTCTATCCTGTTCTCCAAGCTTCGATCAGGCGCTGATTGGGTAGGAAATTAGCCAATCAGCGCGCAGTGACGTAATCATGCTTTGAATCCATCTATGTCCCACTAACA